CTCTCTTTGGGCATAGTGCGCTCAGGTGCGGCTCTCTCTTTGGGCAGAGTGCTCTCAGGGGCGACTCTCTCTTTGGGCAGAGTGCGCTCAGGTGCGGCTCTCTCTCTTTGGGCAGAGTGCTCTCAGGGTCGGCTCTCTCTCTTTGGGCAGGTTGCTCTCAGGGGCGACTCTCTCTTTGGGCAGAGTGCGCTCAGGAGCGGCTCTCTCTTTGGGCAGAGTGCGCTCAGGAGCGGCTCTCTCTTTGGGCAGAGTGCTCTCAGGGTCGGCTCTCTCTTTCGGCAGTGCTCTCAGGGGCGACTCTCTCTTTGGGCAGAGTGCTCTCAGGGGTGACTCTCTCTTTGGGCAGAGTGCGCTCAGGAGCGGCTCTCTCTCTTTGGGCAGAGTGCGCTCAGGTGCGTCTCTCTCTCTTTGGGCAGAGTGCTCTCAGGGTGACTCTCTCTTTGGGCAGAGTGCGCTCAGGTGCAGCTCTCTCTCTTTTGGGCAGAGTGCTCTCAGGGTCGGCTCTCTCTCTTTGGGCAGAGAGCTCTCAGGGGCGACTCTCTCTTTGGGCAGAGTGCTCTCAGGGGCGACTCTCTCTTTGGGCAGAGTGCTCTCAGGGTCGGCTCTCTCTCTTTGGGCAGAGTGCTCTCAGGGGTGACTCTCTCTTTGGGCAGAGTGCGCTCAGGAGCGGCTCTCTCTTTGGGCAGAGTGCGCTCAGGGGTGACTCTCTCTTTGGGCAGAGTGCGCTCAGGAGCGGCTCTCTCTCTTTGGGCAGAGTGCTCTCAGGGTCGGCTCTCTCTTTGGGCAGAGTGCTCTAAGGGGCGGCTCTCTCTTTTGGGCAGAGTGCTCTCAGGGTCGGCTCTCTTTTGGGCAGAGTGCGCTCAGGTGCAGCTCTCTCTTTTGGGCAGAGTGCTCTCAGGGTCGGATCTCTCTCTTTGGGCAGAGTGCTCTCAGGGGTGACTCTCTCTTTGGGCAGAGTGCTCTCAGGGGCGACTCTCTCTTTGGGCAGAGTGCGCTCAGGTGCGTCTCTCTCTCTTTGGGCAGAGTGCTCTCAGGGGTGACTCTCTCTTTGGGCAGAGTGCGCTCAGGTGCGGCTCTCTCTCTTGGGCAGAGTGCTCTCAGGGGCGACTCTCTCTTTGGGCAGAGTGCGCTCAGGTGCGGCTCTCTCTCTTTGGGCAGAGTGCTCTCAAGGGCGACACTCTCTTTGGGCAGAGTGCGCTCAGGTGCGGCTCTCTCTCTTTGGGCAGAGTGCTCTCAGGGTTGACTCTCTCTTTGGGCAGAGTGCGCTCAGGTGCAGCTCTCTCTCTTTGGGCAGAGTGCTCTCAGGGTCGGCTCTCTTTGGGCAGAGTGCTCTCAGGGGTGACTCTCTCTTTGGGCAGAGTGCGCTCAGGAGCGGCTCTCTCTCTTTGGGCAGAGTGCGCTCAGGTGCGTCTCTCTCTCTTTGGGCAGAGTGCTCTCAGGGGTGACTCTCTCTTTGGGCAGAGTGCGCTCAGGTGCGGCTCTCTCTCTTTGGGCAGAGTGCTCTCAGGGTCGGCTCTCTCTTTGGGCAGAGTGCTCTCAGGGGCGACTCTCTCTTTGGGCAGAGTGCTCTCAGGGGCGACTCTCTCTTTGGGCAGAGTGCTCTCAGGGTCGGCTCTCTCTCTTTGGGCAGAGTGCTCTCAGGGGTGACTCTCTCTTTGGGCAGAGTGCGCTCAGGAGCGGCTCTCTCTTTTTCTTTGAGTGCGCTCAGGGGTGACTCTCTCTTTTGGCAGAGTGCGCTCAGGAGCAGCTCTCTTTTGGGCAGAGTGCTCTCAGGGTCGGCTCTCTCTTTGGGCAGAGTGCTCTTAGGGGTGACTCTCTCTTTGGGCAGAGTGCTCTCAGGGTCGGCTCTCTTTGGGCAGAGTGCGCTCAGGTGCGGCTCTCTCTTTGGGCAGAGTGCTCTCAGGGTCGGCTCTCTCTTTTGGGCAGAGTGCTCTCAGGGGTGACTCTCTCTTTGGGCAGAGTGCTCTCAGGGGCGACTCTCTTTGGGCAGAGTGCGCTCAGGTGCTCTCTCTCTCTTTGGGCAGAGTGCTCTCAGGGGTGACTCTCTTTGGGCAGAGTGCGATCAGGTGCGGCTCTCTCTCTTTGGGCAGAGTGCTCTCAGGGGCGACTCTCTCTTTGGGCAGAGTGCGCTCAGGTGCGGCTCTCTCTCTTTGGGCAGAGTGCTCTCAGGGGCGACTCTCTCTTTGGGCAGAGTGCGCTCAGGTGCGGCTCTCTCTCTTTGGGCAGAGTGCTCTCAGGGTTGACTCTCTCTTTGGGCAGAGTGCGCTCAGGTGCGGCTCTCTCTCTTTGGGCAGAGTGCTCTCAGGGTCGGCTCTCTCTTTGGGCAGAGTGCTCTCAGGTGTGACTCTCTCTTTGGGCAGAGTGCGCTCAGGAGCGGCTCTCTCTTTGGGCAGAGTGCTCTCAGGGGCGACTCTCTCTTTGGGCAGAGTGTGTGCTCAGGGGCGGTTCCGTCAAGGGACAGTGTCACAACTGAGGAAAATTATACTGAGAAGTGCTGGCCCTGGGTAACAGCTGCTCGAGGTCGCGCCCTCTCATTGTACCAGAGAGAGGGATCGGTGCTTGCACCGAGACCAGTGCAACCAAGTGTTGCGTGAGATCGGACAACTTTTGTTTCTAGCCCGGGTGTACGCGCTCGGGCTCCCCACATTAAACCAACCTTGTGTCACAACCTGACCTCGTAGGGGGTGTGATTGAGTAAATACAAATGTACTGTGCCTTAAAGAGGAGTTATTTATTTTTACAACCAGAATTTCTTTATGCAACAAATTATGCAGCACTTATTTCGATTAACCGCGTTACTTACAACGACTACTTCGCTCCTTAAATGACCGTAACATAATTGGCAGATGACTATAAAAATGACTGTAGTTTATTTACGGCTAATTTGTTTAAATAATGCGACCTCCCCATTAAGGCAGGGTGTAACATAAGGTCTTTTTTTGGAGTGGGAGGCATATGCATGCACATACATATTAGCTAAGGGCAAAAATGACCCAGTCCCCGTGACCACCGTCACGCTGGGGTCGATATTAGACCGACCCCACCTCTCTTAGTGCAATGAAAGCGCTACCGTAGTATTGAAATCTATGGGACCAAGCGCCTGCCGCAGAGAGAACAGAAATAACACTTTGATCCTAACCAAATAGTCGGTTTGCGTCACGTGGAAACAATCGTAAGTAAAATGAGACACTAAAATAAGTAACCAAGTAATCGTTTAAATTATCGGAATATCAGTGTTTTTTTTCTTTTTTACTCCTATGGAAATAAGTAATTAGGTAAGGGAATGTACTTTACACTTAGCATTCAATAGTTATTTCCCTTGTAAAATCAGTGAAAACAAAAATTCCAAAAGAGCGTGAATGAAGATCCCACAATATTATCCTACGTTATTTGTTTTTTTTAAGTCAACGGATTTCGGAGGAACATTAATTCTGTGCGTTTGGTTACGATGCATTGTTTCTGTACACGTGCAAAATATTTTTTTATTTGTTCAGTTAAGCGCAAACAGGAAGTCTTTTTTGTCAGATAATTCCCAGTGAGGATCGAACTCACTATTCATTCGTAATTTTTCTAGCGAGACAAGCTTTCTAACCATTACACCGCCTCGGAGTGCGCAATGAGGACGTATGTGCGAGTATAGTGCGTGGTTTTATGATCAGTTTTTTTTTTTTTACACAAACACGAGTCTTCTAGGAAAAAGAGAAAGAACGCGTCTTCATTGGCTGAACTGGTATCAACACCTTCTCATGTCTTATTTTCTTCTCTTTCCTTTTCCTTTGTATATATATAAAGTTTGGATATATTCTTCCCCTTCTTTTTCTTTTCTTTTGTTTCTCTCTGTAGTAGGGGTTGATTTCTTATGCCTTTCTTTTCTTTCCTCTTTCTATTTCTTTTTATTGATTTCTTATTCTCCTTTTTTTTTACTTTTTTAATCTGCTTTTTTCTTTCTTTTCATTTTATGGAAATTTTTTTTATATATTTGTTTCTTTGCCTTCTATAGAAAATTTTAAAAAATGTAAAAAGAAGTGATTTTTCATAAGTTGTATTTTTAAAGAAAATCGTTTATTATCACCAATGTTAGGCACCTGATAAGATGTCTAAATTAGACATTGAAACAAATTTGCATTTTTGTTGTGGTAACTTTGTACCCTCTTGTATTGAGCACTTTTTTTTTTAAATTAATGTTATGAACGTTTGAATTTATATTCTTTTTGTTCTTTTACATTTGCGTGTGTCTATATATATATATATATATATATATATATATAGAGAGAGAGAGAGAGAGAGAGAGAGAGAGAGTGAACATTGAGGTGTTGACTGGGTGTTGACTTCTATATTTACATACACTCAATCTGAACACTTAAGCCCATAAATATAGCATACCTTAAAACTATATTTTGATCATATCACACACACACACACACACACACACACACACACACACACACACACACACACACACACACACATTTTTTTCTACGTGCACATTTTTCTCCCTACTACGCTGCGAGAAAGAAGTTTAAAAAAATAAAATAAAACTATGGTCACACTAGTATACACGAGTATACACGGTAGATTAAAAAAAAAAAAATCCTGTAAGCGACTGGAAAGGCTGTACAAACACGCCCACCAAACGGGGGAAAAAAACGAGAAAAGTAATTTTTTAAAGGCTAGTTTCAATCCTTATTTCCGCTTTAATTATAAACGAATTTCCTCCCCCAGGTGCCAGTGCGTGATGCATGCTTGGGCGAATGTCTCTTTTCGATTCATGATTGACTTGGCAGAAGAATTCCCGTAGTACGCGGCCGTTACTTTCTGCAGTAGACTGATTATTAACCAAGGCTATGAGAGCCAGTCTGTCTTGCTATTTAACCCATAGCCGGGAGAAGAGGAATCAGATTCATACCTCTCCCAAGAGTATTTGCGCGTAAGTAAATGAAACGAATTCGACCGGAAATCGAACTCAGCTCTCTCACTTCTCATTACCCGCACTTCGAAGCTCACAGCACCTAGTATTCTCAAGTAGTCACCCATTTAGTTACTGATCCGGCTCAAAGTTGCTTAACTTCGGTGATCGTTGGAGAACCGCTGTTTCAAATTAATATGCTGATATTCTAAGCGTTGCTTAGACGTGACACTAGGGGCACCCAGTGGCACAAATATGAGGCACCAGTGAGGATCGAACTAATTATTCACTCGCAATTGATCTTTTAAGACAAGCTTTCTAACCATTACACTACGTCGAGGTGCCCAATATATATGGAGATTTTTCTAAGCTTAGCTTAGATGCAGCACAAGGCTGAAAGTACGGAGTACCCAGTGAGGATCCAACTCACTCCTCAGCCGTAATTGATCTGGCAAGACAAGCTTGCTAAACATTATACCATGTTGAAGTGCCAGTTTCAAAGTCATATGACCGTAAGTTTAATTATTAATAGAAACTATAAAATATACATAAATATAAAAATGATATTTTAACTCTTTTAAATTATAAAAAAATATAGTCAAAAAGCGAAGTAAAACAAATCTTACGTCCCTAAATGTAATATTTGAAAAGTAGGATAATCCATAAAGCATTCCATGCATAATGGAGATGTTTGCTCCAAGTTGTCACTATTTTTCGCCATTTTTCACTTCGATAAGCACGCATGCGCACATAGCACTGTCTTTGGCTAATTCTTTCAGCTTTATTTACAGGCAAATACTCTAAAAATGAGGTAATCTCATAAATCCTAACGTTGCCAATTAGCCGTTCAGACTACAATCATGAATAAATGATTCCCGTATCTTTGGGAAAAAAGTTTAACTCATCAATTGATGATGTCCACCAAACTCCAATGAAACATCGACATACTTCTGGCTGCAATGTTTCATTTTAATTGCTTACTGGTTACATACAGGTATAGAAAATCAAAAGTTTAGTCAATTTTATTGCAAATGTATTTATGGTGATAGGAAGAAGGTTTTTTGCTTAGGTCACGGGGAGACTTGCTCAAAGTAACTTAATGCATGGCAGAAAAATGAGTGCCTGTAGAGACATTATTATTAATAAATACAAATATGAAATAATAATAATAAAACCCGTACCCATCAGTGGCTACGTAGGGCAGGGTTGAAGGCTGAAACTGAAGGTTTTATCCTTGCTGCACAGGACCAATGCTTGCTAACTCAAGCACATATACTAAAATATTGTGTTAGCCCAAAATGCAGATTATTTGGTAAATATCCAGAAACAATTGATCATCTTGTATCAAGCTGCGCGATATTGGCACCCACTGAATATAAAACCCAGCATGACATAGTGGGCCAATATCTGCACTGGAAAATCTGCAACCTCTACGGGAAGGAAACTGAAAGAAATTGGTATAAACACCACCCAGACCCGGTTACAAAGATAGGACCTGTTACAATTCTATGGGACTACACAATACACACTGACAGAACAATCAAAGCCAACCGCTCAAACACTGTTATTAAAGACCACAAAGAAAAAAAGTGATTCTTATTGATATAGCAGTCCCTGCTGACTGCAATATATCTTTGAAGATATTCAAAAAGCCTTCAAAATACAAGGACATTGAAATAGAAATCTCAAAAATGTGGCATATGGGAACATCAACAATCCCTGTTGTAGTTGGAGCCCTAGGATTGGTTGGAAAAGATTGCAGTAGACTAATTGAAGGGATTCCTGGAAGTCCATGCCTCAAAGAAATACAAAAAAATGTTCTGACAAGTACAGCCCACACTTTACGAAGGGCTTTATCTATGTAATGTTTTTTTTGTCAGTGGAAAGTGGAAAGTGTCATGATGCCATTTCTAACCTTAGGTCCCTGGGCGGGACCCGGAAAGAAATGTGTAAACGCCTGAAATCAAAGATAATAATAATAATAATAATAATAAATATCACGAATGAAATAAGATAAAACGAATAACATTAAAACTTTGCTTAAAATAAAATAAATGAAACTAAAAATAATAAAAGTTATCCCAGGATGCAACGGAAAACGTTTCCTGTCTGAAAACTGATACTTCGTGTCAAAAAACGCTAAACTCACTCTCTTCGCTATCGAGCCTCAAAGGATCAAGATGTCCATCTCCTCTTCTCGGCACCTTACTTGTCATAAAACGAAGTGACTTTCTTCACCTATCACATGTAACCTTAAAACATATATAACACACACACACACACACACACACACACACACACCACACACACACACACACAACATCACAACAGCCCAAACACCAGCACACAGACACCCACACACACCCACCCACGCGCACACACACACCAGCACACACACCAGCACACACACCAGCACACACACCAGCATATAGAAATAAATAAAATTACATAATTTTAATTTAAAATTTAAAATGCTTTTAGTGCTATTTCCTTGTATGTTTTTCATTCCTGTGAACACGAGGCTATTCTTGCTGGTATGATGTGAGTGACTCCACAAGTTCCATAATAAAATAAAACACCGCTATTTTTTGTTTAGTTGAAAATCTGTAATATATCCCCATGTATCTGTAGCAGAAAAAAAAAAACACAATTTACACATAGTTCGAGATAACAAATTAAATCTAAATTTATACAATTATTAGAAAGCATAAATCTCTAACTACACACCAATTTTCGTCTAGCTAAGTCACACACGCGTCGCACTCTACTCAATTTTTTTTTTGAAACAAACACAAATATACCAGAGTGCTGGTCATTATCGACGCGACTCTCGCATGCCAGAGATGTCTACAATTACGTCCCCGCGTTTCTCTTAAATAGGCATTGTCATTCTCTGTCATCCTCTCTTTCATATTTTTCTCAGGGATAATATGATGTAGATCGCACGTGGAGAAAAAGGGTCCCCCCCATCGGGGTAGGCACACACGCACCTTTCACATCACTTTCACACATTTCTCCAGTTTAAATGGTTTCATTTTTCATATTCATTGTTTTTATCACACGCAATAATCTGCTGTTATTGTCTATGTATGCCTTTGTTTTGTTATTACATACAGTGTCGTCTGTTTTTATATATACTTTTGTTGATATTTTATTCATTTATTACCCGGAATCATATTCGAGTTCGCAATAATTCTTGTGGGAAAAATATATACTGGAGAAAGGTGTTTTCTATTTAAATACAATCAACACGTCCGTATCATATTTCGTCGTTTTCTTATTAAATTGATGGTGTGACTAAACATGATGTTTAATAATATAGGGTCAATTACCGTACTAAGACAAGCTGAATAAATACCAGAGCTAAAATGCTTCTGTCTGACGACACACACACACACACACACACACACACACACACACACACACACACGGAAAGTTAAGAGAAAAATAGAGAAGGAACTGCGAAAACAAAATGAACATGTAATATACAACGATTTCAATTGCCTTCTTTATTTCATTTATTTTACTCAGTCTCTCCATAAGCAATTTTAAATTATCGCAAATTTTAGGGCTTTTTTCAGGCAAGCTTTTGACATCTCGAAAGAGTTCGACAGGTTATGGCATACTGATATACTTCACAAGTTGAAAAGTTATACTGTCTCCGAAAGAATTCTTGAACCGATTCAATCTTACTTATTAAATAGTGAATTGAAAGTTATCCGGAACGGCCATTGTTCTAGATTCATTTGTATTAATAGAGGTGTCCCTCAGGGCTCAATCGTTGGCCATAATTCGTTCTTAATTTTCATTAAGGAAGTTTCTGATGGTATCAGCTATCAAAATTATCCTGAACGGACAATTCTCTAGATTCTTTTATACTAATGCAGGTGTTCTCCAGGGCTCTAACCATAATCGTACTTTCTTCTTAATTTTCAATAAGGACGATTCTAATGGTATCTGTTCTTAAAGTTATCTCGAAAGGCTATTGTTTTAGATACTTTTGTACTAATGCAGGTGTCCTCCGGGGCTCTAACCTTAATCGTACTTTCTTGTTAATTTTCATTAAGGACGATTCTAATGGTATCTAGGTATGGTATCGGCTATGGTTCTAGACTCTTTTGTACTAATGCAGGTGTCCTCCAGGGCTCTAAACTTAATCCTACTTTCTTCTTAATTTTCATTAAGGACGATTCTAATGGTATCTGTTCTTAAAGTTACTTGAACGGCTATTGTTCTTGACTCTTTTGTACTAATGAAGTTGTCCTCCAGGGCTCTAACCTTAATCGTACTTTCTTCTTAATTTTCATTAAGGTCGATTCTAATGGTATCTGTTCTTAAAAGTTATCTTGAGCGGTTATTGTTCTAGATACTTTTGTACTAATGCAGGTGTCCTCCAGGGCTCTAACCTTAATCGTACTTTCTTCTTAATTTTCATTACGGACCATTCTAATGGTATCTGTTCTTAAAGTTATCTTGAACGGCTGTTTTGCTAGACTCTTTTGTACTAATGCAGGTGTCCTCCAGGGCTCTAACCTTAATCGTACTTTCTTCTTAATTTTCATTGAGGACGATTCTAATGGTATCTGGAGTTAAAGTTATCTTGAGCGGTTATTGTTCTAGATACTTTTGTCCTAATGCAGGTGTCCTCCAGGGCTCTAACCGTAATCCTACTTTCTTCTTAATTTTCATTAAGGACGATTCTAATGGTATCTGTTCTTAAAGTTATCTTGAAAGGCTATAGTTCTAGACTCTTTTTGTACTAATGCAGGTTTCCTCCAGGGCTCTAACCTTAATCGTACTTTCTTCTTAATTTTCATTACGGACCATTCTAATGGTATCTGTTCTTAAAAGTTATCTTGAACGGCTATTTTTCTAGACACTTTTGTACTAATGCAGGTGTCCCCCAGGGCTCTAACCTTAATCGTACTTTCTTCTTAATTTTCATTAAGGACGATTCTAATGGTATCTGTTCTGAAAGTTTTCTTGAAATTCTATTGTTCTAGATATTTTGTACTAATGCAGGTGTCCTCCAGGGCTCTAACCTTAATCGTACTTTCTTCTTAATTTTTATTAAGGACGATTCTAATGGTATCTGGTCTTAAAGTTATCTTGTGCGGTTATTGTTCTGGATACTTTTGTCCTAATGCAGGTGTCCTCCAGGGCTCTAACCTTAATCCTACTTTCTTCTTA